GGAGTACCTCTCATTGGCTGAGCTGGGACAGTTTCTCATTGGCTGAACTGGGAGTACCTCTCATTGGCTGAGCTGGGACAGTTTCTCATTGGCTGTGTTCTGCCTGCCTCTCATTGGCTGGTCTAGGACTGTCTCTCATTGGCTGAGCAGGGACAGCTTCTCATTGGCTGTGTTATGCCTGCCTCTCATTGGCTGGTCTCTTGCAGGGGGTGAAGGGGGGACCCTCCTTCCTCCTACAGGCACAGCGAAGTAGTAAGTAACTAAAGTAGTATCCAGGTGCAGGGTGCCTCTCTTCCCATTGGGTGGGTAACAAGTTGGTAGAGTGTGAGAGCTCCCCCTGCTGGCCTCCCGACTCCATTCTGAATGAAATTTCCTTTCATTCATTTTCACAGAACCAACTACTGGATACATATATACATACAATGTAGACGAATCTCTAGGGAATTCTGCTGAGTAGAAAAAGCCAGTTCGGAAAGGTCAGAGACTATTTGTTTCTATGTATATAGCTTTAAAAAAAAAAAAAAAAGCTTTAAAAAAAATGACACACTTTAGAATTTGAGAACCAATGAGCGGATGCTAGGGTTTAGGGGAGGAGGGGTAGGGGTGGGGCTGGGCTCCACGGGGGTTCTTTTGGTAACGGAGGGCTCAATATCTTGACTGCGGCAATATCACACATGTGACAAAGTTGTACTGAACTAAACACAACACGAAAACGAGTATAAGGAAAACAAGTAATCTGAAGAGAACTGGTGGGTTGTGTTAATGTCATACCTTGGGTGTAAATCCCAACTCTAGTTCTTTTTTTTTTTTAAGATTTTATTTATTTGAGAGAGAGGAGAGAGGGAGCGAGCACGAGTGGGGGAAGCAGCAGAGGGAGAGGGACAAGCTGACTCCCTGCTGAGTGGGGAGTCCAAGGCAGGGCTCCATCCCAGGACCCTGGGATCATGACCTGAGCCGAAGGCAGAGGTTAACCGACTGAGCCACCCAGGCATCCCTCCGCTACTCCAGTTCTGCAAAATGTTCCCATGGGGGAAACTGGGTAAAAGGCACAAGACACCCTTCTGTATTACTCCTTACAACTTTATCTTAGTCATTTGAGCTGCTTGTTTCACCGCCTGCTGGCTGTCTGAAAACCACCGTTGTCCGTTCTTTGAAGTTTCTACCCACTGTCTTGAGTGCTCTAGAACGCAGGAGAGCAGCTGAGATGGAAAGGGAAGGGTGGCTGGCGCTCGGACTTGGGGTGTGGGCCCAAGCAGTGAGGAAGCCTCAGTTAACAGCTCTACAGTACTCTCAGCTCCTTCTGGGACAACTTGAATAGTGTGAAATTAGTGTTGGTCCTGGTGAGCCGGATAGGAATGGGTGTCATTATTCTTCAGTGGCCCTTGTGGCGTGACTTGCTTGTGTGTGAGGCCACTCAGAGCCCTTGTCTGCAGAAGTCCCAGGCCCTTGCGACTGGCCTGGCCGTGGTGAGGTCTGTGTGTCCTTGGCATTTCCGTTGTGAGCCCGGGCGCCTAGAGGTGGCCGGCTGGTGGGCGGGGCTTTCAGATGTGGTGTAGAAATGGCCAGTCTCCCTTACAGTCTGTGCCATTCATGAGGTGTTACCTTGACAAATATGTCTTCGGTATTCAATTTGCCAGTTCATGGGCAGCCTCTTGGAAATGGAAGAAAAAGTCCTTAATCTGCCCGAGATCATCAGGCCCCGGGTGGGCACTGCTCCAGAGATGCTCAAGCACTGAGCTCGCGGGGGCTGGAGGCCTGTCCAGGGCCCCTGCCGGGCAGCGCGG